AAATAAATTATTAAAATTTAGAATATTATTATTGTTATTCTCAGGGTTATTTTCAGCAGGTTGGATCTCTGGAAAGGTTTTATCTTGGAGATGGATGGATTCGATTTCTTCTTGAGTTCGCGAAAGATCAGTGGTTCTCTGGGGAAGGTTTTCAGGTAAGTTTTGAGTTTCTGGTTGGGTTGGTCTGAGATTTTCAAAATAATTAGCTAGAGTAGCAAATACTCTTGCTGCTTCTTCCTCTAGATTCGCTGGTTCGTGGGTAGGTTTGAGATTTATTACTTGGATTTCTTCTGGGGCGATGTCTTCTTCTTCGTCACTTAAAGGTATAATAAATTGCTGGGGTTCAGTGAGTTGTGATGAAGTTCTACTGCTTTCAGCAAAAGTTTCTCCTTGTGGGTAGGTTACTTGTGAAAGGTTTTGGGTGGGGGTTTGAGTAGTAGAAAAATAAGTTAGGGTTGAAGGTCTTTCGTACGGTTGCTACGGTTACTGCGGCTCACGGCGATGTGGTAATTGGGGTTGAGTTTCGGGGGTTTCCTCACTATAATTTTCTTCAGAAAAAATATGTGCAGGGTTATGTTCTTCTTCCTCGTTATAATTAAAAGCTTGGGTGGTTTCTTGAGTAGATGTAAATTCGAATGGGGTTGAGATTTCTAAATGGGAGTAATTGTGATGATGTAGCTAATCTTGATTGAACTTCTTGTAATCGTCTCTGGACAAGTTTTTGAGTGACCTGAATGTAAACTTGGTTTAATTCTTTCTCTAAAAGTCAGGTTAAGTTGAGGAAATGGCAATAAGACTCAAAATCTTAGGAATTAGGATCTCTTTCAGATGAAACGTCTTGTAGGTAATGTTCATACCGGTTTCTATATAGGCGTAATTTAGCTTCAGCAAAAAGTTGATCAGACTCAGAGTTTTCAGAGGTTGTATCTTCGTCTGAGGTAGGTTGATTGTCTTCTGAATTATTATTATTATTATTACCATCAAAGTTAAAGAATCTAAACATAAACTAGCAATATATCATTTCGCGAATTACTGTACACAAAGAAAATATTATCGTGCAACGGAATGGCGAAATTAATATATTATAGGTTGGGGTTTTAATTTAGCTAGTTCTGAATAACAAAAGTCTGGATTGGGTTGGGTTTACTTAGCTACAACTAAGCAAAAACAAAAGGGTTAGATTTATTCAAGCAGAGGGTTAACAAAGGGTTAGGTTGAAAAAACGTCCGCTGCTACCAAATGTAACGAATCTACTAATTCGTTTTAGAAAATAAATATCAACAAATATTTATTATGAAGTTTGTGTTTTATAATTAAATTATTTTACAAGACTTGCTTGTTCTTTATTAATCATATGTTATATTTATATAAAAATACATAATT